TGCACATGTATATGTATGTATGTGTCAGTGTGCAGTTTTCATGTCTGTGTGTCTGTGCACATGTGTATGTATTTGTCAGTGTGCAGTTTTCATGTCTGTGTGTCGGCATGTGTATGTATGTGTCAGTGTGCAGTTTTCATGTCTGTGTCTGTGCACATGCGTGTGTATGTATGTCAGTGTGCAGTTTTCATGTCTGTGTGTCTGCACATGCATGTGTATGTATGTGTCACTGCAGTTTTCATGTCTGTGTGTCTGCACATGTGTGTGTATGTATTTGTCACTGTGCAGTTTTCATGTCTGTGTGTGCACATGTGTGTGTATTTGTCAGTGTGCAGTTTTCATGTCTGTGTCTGTGCACATGTGTGTGTATGTATGTGTCAGTGTGCAGTTTTCATGTGTGTGTCTGTGTACATGTGTGTGTGTATTTGTCAGTGTGCAATTTTCATGTCTGTGTGTCTGTGCACATGTGTATGTATGTGTCAGTGTGCAGTTTTCATGTCTGTATGTCTGTGCACATGTATATGTATGTGTCAGCATGCAGTTTTCCTGTCTGTGTGCATGTGTGTGTATGTATGTGTCAATGTGCAGTTTTCATGTATGTATGTCTGTGCACATGTGTGTGTATGTATGTGTCAGCGTGCAGTTTTCCTGTCTGTGTGCACATGCATGTGTATGTATGTGTCAGTGTGCAGTTTTCATGTCTGTGTGTCTGTGCACATGCGTGTGTATTTGTCAGTGTGCAGTTTTCATGTCTGTGTGTCTGTGCACATGCGTGTGTATGTGTCAGTGTGCAGTTTTCATGTCTGTGTGTCTGCACATGCATGTGTACGTATGTGTCAGTGTGCAGTTTTCATGTCTGTGTGTCTGTGCACATGTCTATGTATGTATGTGTCCGTGTGCAGTTTTCATGTCTGTGTGTCTGTGCACATGTGTATGTATGTATATGTCAATGTGCAGTTTTCATGTCTGTGCACATGTGTGTGTATGCATGTGTCAGTGTGCAGTTTTCATGTGTCTGTGCACATGTGTGTGCATGTATTTGTCAGTGTGCAGTCTTCATGTCTGTGTGTCTGTGCACATGCATATGTATGTATTTGTCAGTGTGCAGTTTTCATGTCTGTGTCTGTGCACATGTGTGTGTATGTATGTGTCAGTGTGCAGTTTTCATGCCTGTGTGTTTGTGCACATGTATATGTATGTGTCAGTGTGCAGTTTTCATGTCTGTGTGTCTGTGCACATGCGTGTGTATGTATTTGGCGCTGGCTCTCGCACTTGAGCTGAGCTCCTGGTCCATTTTGCCTTCAGTGTTCTCTGGGAGGGTCATCTCTCCTTTCGCCTGGGTCTGTCTGCGCTGGCTTCACACCGCCCAGTAGCTGGGGTTATCGTCACACCCTGCGGCCCTGTTCACGGTGCAGAATTTAATACAGTGGAAGAGCCCGCAGTCTGCCAGCTCTTCTCCTTTCTACCTTATTAATGTTTTACTATACGGTTTTGGTTCTTTTGTCACACTAAAAACTTCCTTTTACATAAAGTTTAGAAGATACCTCTAACTAGCTTAGTATTTTTTTTTTAGCTTGGTATTTTGTAATTTAAAAAGTTACAGCTTCCTGCTGGGCACCCGTGGCTCATTCCTGGACTCAGAAAGCTGAGAACTGAGGAGCACAGTTCAAAGCCAGGCTGGGCAGAAAAGTCCCCCTGAGACTCTTACCTCCAGTTAACCACTCAAAAACCAGAAGTGGCTCTGTGGCTCAAGTGGTAGAGCTCTAGCCTTGAGCACAAAGAGGCTCAGGGACAATGCTCAAGGCCTGAGTTCGAGCCCCACAACTGACAAAAAAAGAAAAAATATATATATATATAATTTGCTAGTACTGTTATCCACAAAATGAGATCTGATGTGTTATCTCTCTGCATTTGAAATACCTGGGTAAATAACGTGTTAATTCTTCATATATATTAGAATTTACCAAATGAATTAATCCAAGCATAAAAAATTACAACTTCATTGTCAATAAAATCTACAAAACATCTTAAATGATTGCTTATTCTTATAAGAAAATACTGAAAAAATTCTAAAGACAAAATAGTGAGATTGCAAAGTAATACATTTCAGAGAAATTGTGTGGGTTTCTCCTGCAGTACCGTAACTGGTATAGAGTATCTGTGGTGATAAAAGCATTGTTAGAGAAGTTAGCATTTTAAGCCATGCTGTGAGGACGCATTGGAGATGCCGGGAAAGGAGGACTTCTTTGCATTTGGTTCTTCAGATTGAAGAGGGATGGTGTTGGAGGGACAAGGCGGTGGCATGGTCTCCATTTAGGAATAGTCATCCTGGCCGGCACCCGCAGCTCATGCCTATAATCCCAGCTCCTCAGAAGGCCTGCCCAGAAAGCCAGTTCTGGGCAGGCAAGTGAGACTTACCTCCAGTTTACCAGCAAAAGGCCAGAAGTTGGAGCCATGGTTCAAGTGGTAGAGAGCCAAACATGACCAAAAAAACCTAAGGGAGAGCACATAGGCCCTGAGTTCAAGACCCTGTACTGGCACGCACCAAGAAGAATAGTTGGGCTGGGACTGTGACTCACTCAGTGGTAGAGTGCTGGCCTCGCGTGCATGAAGCCCTGGGTTCGATTCCTCAGCACCACATACACAGAAAAAGCTGCAAGTGGCGCTGTGGCTCAAGGTGACAGCGCGCTAGCCTTGAGCTAAAGAAGCTCAGGGACAGTGCCCAGGCCCTGAGTTCAAGCCCAGGACTGGCAAAAGAAAAAGAATAGTCATCTGGGATACCAGCTGGGTAGGGGAGCTGCACCAACAGAATCATTACCCTGGCCAGAGACACCCAGAGGACCGCAGGCAAATGGTGTAAGTGGCCGGGGGGGGGGGGCAGGGGGAGGGGAGGTTAGTGCCTATGCAGGTTTTCTTTATAAGACACTTTAGGATACAGTATTATGAATATATTATAAATATCTTTAAGGAAGGAAATAGTATTCCTTAGAGTCCTTTAAGTGGCACTGTGTCAGTGGCTGTGGCCATTTGTATTGCTCTAGATAAATGTTGCAGTGGCTTTCTGGAAGGATTTGTATTACAGATATTTTAATTCCGTCTCCAATTCACTCTTGGAAGCATAGTGCATTTTATTCCGAAGTGTCATACTTTGAGTAAATGGGGGGAAAATGGTACTCTGGTTACGAGTGAGGAGAATATGTAAAGTCATTTTATTATTTGCATTTATTATATTGAGTTTTAGTGACTCAATTTTGTTTTTATTTTCTAGGGAAACTAGAACACAAGATAGCTTTTAGTTGAGATATCTTACCTAAAAGTTGATTTGTAACTCTGAAAGTAATGGCTAACTTAAGATGTAAAATCCTGATCATTTTTTTGGTGTGTGTGCGTGCGCACGTACGTGTGTGTGCATGTGTGTGTGTGCGCGCGCACGTGTGTGTGCACATGTGCATGCGTGTTTGTGTGTGTTGCTGTGGGTCGTGCCCTGAGCATGCTAGATGTGTATATGTGCGTGCGTGCGTGTGTGTGTGTGTGTGTGGCTGTGGGTCGTGCCCTGAGCATGCTAGACATGTGTGTGTGCGTGCGTGCGTGCGTGCGTGCGTGTGCGTGGCTGTGGGTCGTGCCCTGAGCATGCTGCTGGACATGCAGCCCACGACTGAGTTCCGCTCCCGTCCTCTTTGCTCAGCGTTCAGCTGTCTATTAGCGATCTCTGTGTCGGAGGCGCCGCAGAGTGTGCAGATGAAGTGGGGACCCATCGAGTCACAGTGTCTGTCCGGTGGCATTTTGTCGGGGTTTTCAGAACTAGATGAGGCCGCTAGGATCCCTTCCTTATGCTGCCTCTTTATTCTCTTACATGCTCCACGCTTACATGCTGTCATCTGAATCACCCTGGGTAAAGAGCTGAGAGTGATTTTTGTAGTAGATTTTTTGTAACTGTTATTGTACATTTGCTTTGTGGAATCTCCATACAAGAACGTTTATAAATACTTTTATAGCGAAGTAGTGCAGTGTAAGAGATTACAACTCAGGGCACACTAAGTATGCTCGCATCCCTGCGTGGCCAGCGCTGGGCTGTGTGGTCATGAGTACCCGCAGTCCACCTTCCCAACTTCTACCTCCCTCCCCCCCCCCCCCCCCCCCCCCCGTGAAGCCCCATACCCATCAAACAGCTCCCCGCAGCTCCTGGGGAAACCTCTATTCTAGATCATCTGCCTGAGCTAGTCCATGTCTGACACCACGTGGAATTTGTCCATCTGTGTCTGGCTTCTGTTACTTCGCCGTGTTTTCAAGGTGCCGTCTGTGTTGTCGTGTGTGGCAGAATCTCCTTCCTTCTTGTGACTGACTCGCACTCTGTGTGTGTGAACTCCGCTTTGCTTACCCACTCTTCAGTTAACGGGCATTGCTGTTGTTTCTAGACTTCAGCTCTAGGACCTAATGCTGCTGGAGGTAGGGATGCTGTGTCTGCACTGGTCTCTGCTTTTTCTTAAAATGTATTTTATGGGGTACAGAAGAATTGAACCCCGGGCCTCATGCATGCTAGGCAAACACTCTACCACCCAGCCACCTACCCAGGCCAGGTAGTCTCGCTTTTGCTTCTGGTTATATACATAGAAATTGGATGGCCTGGTCACATGGTAACTCTTAAATTCACTTTTCAGGAACTGCCAGACCTTCTCACATTGGCTGTACTCACCATCCACACACACACACACGCACACACACTCACACACACACACACTTGCTTTTGTCTTGTTTCTCTTTAGCTTAATACCAGCCGCCCCATGAGTGCTAGATGATGCTTCATAGTTTGCATTTCCCTAGTTAATGCTGAACTGTTCGTGTGTGTATTTTCCACGTGTGTGTGTGTGTGTGTATTGGAGACTGGCCTATTCAAGCTCCTTGCCCACTCTGAATGGGGTTGTTTATGTTCCTGTTGTTGAGTGGTGAGTGGCACTTAAAGGTGCACTGTAATAACCCAGACTGTGTTTCTCCCTTCCCAGGATTCCTACAGGAAACAAGTAGTAATTGATGGAGAAACCTGTCTCCTGGACATTCTCGACACGGCAGGTCAAGAGGAGTACAGTGCCATGAGGGACCAGTACATGAGGACCGGGGAGGGCTTTCTGTGTGTCTTTGCCATAAACAATACTAAGTCATTTGAAGATATTCACCATTATAGGTGCGTTTCCATTTGCATTAAGGAGTCATCGTAGCTCTCGATGATCGATTCTTTGCTTAAGTACCATATGCCTATGCCATCAAAGGCAGATGAGTTAAAAGTGAATGTTGGTCTCCTTTTGCAAGTGAAGTCCTTGACGATGATAGTCCCAGACCGCATGAGCAGTAACGGGGCTGGGATTGGGAGGGAGGAACGTGGGCCCACTGGACTCCAGGGACAGGAACGCTTAGCTCTTCCAGAGGTGCAAGATCCATTGTAAAAATACGGACTATAAACAGAAATATGGAAAGGTAACGTGAGTCGCTACCACTCAGATGTCTTAAAAAACACTCATCTACCTACAGCATAGGATCTCTTGGGTTGGAGTAAATATAATGGCTTGATAATTTGAATGTTGAAAAAGAAGAAGTTAGTGGGCTTTTTTTTTTTTAAGAATGATGAATCTGCATAAGACTGACTACCTAAATAATCCTCGTATTAAACATACTTCTTTCTTTAGGAGTTTACAGTTTTTATGAAACTGCGCCTTTAGCAATATTCCATGTACTAGTTAGCTAGCCTACTTCGTGTTTTATTTAAGAATATTTATGATAGCGTGTTTAGCCTACAGCTGGAGAAATCTGGTTGGAGGGTAGTAGTTGTAGTGTTTGTATAGACTAGTATATGGCTGAAATTTTTTGTTGTCTCTAAATCTATTCAGAAAATAAAGGAATTGGGAATTTGCACCAGTTTTGGCTGGTGTCTACTGTGTTCTCAAGTGCTATCTTTGAAATTCATGGCAAATCCTGAAGGATACTCATTTGGCCTCAGATTTAGAGTTTATTCACATTGTGTACCAAAAAGTAGCAAAATACAGAAAGACTTGACAGAATACAGTGTAGTTACTTCATTGTTGGCCTTCTAAAAAAATCACTCTTTCCAGCTGCCATTTCCTTTTTTTGAGACAACAGAGTAGTTCTTTATGCTCCAGTAAGGTCTGAAAAAATCAGATGAAAAACTACAGAAATAAAGAGTTCATAAGTTTTCAGTACCTCTTATTAGAGTAGATTGCTAGGATTGCTCTGGTAATTCATGTATTACTGTGCCAGAGGTATAAATTAAACACGGCCATTGGTGTGTGTTGGCTGCTGCCTACAATTGCGGATATCGCTGGGGTTTTGGACTGTCTGTCCATCCCGTGCAGCAGGTGACTGAAATGTGACAGTTACATGACTGCTAAATTATGTCTTGGTGAAGGTATCTTGTGCATATGTACATTTTTTACCATATGAATATGTGTCTAAGGTTAATGCTCTTTATTCTTTAAAAAAAAAAAAGAACTTAGGTTTCTCATTTTGGCCTAGAATTTTCCAGAATGTTCTCTTATCTTTGCTATCTATTTACATAGAAACTTTTTAGATGATAGGTTTTACTCTTATAGGTATTTGATCTGTAAGGGAGAGAAAAGTGTTCGAATAAGACAGACGGGAAGAATAACGGAGAAACACCGGGGGAAGTTTGTAGGGTGGAAAGAAGAGATTCTATGGGACCCTCACTGCACTCAGTTTCCTAAGGCAGAAGGATGCTCTGTGACTAATGCCTCTATTACAACTTTTGTTTTTTCCCCAGAGAACAAATTAAAAGAGTCAAAGACTCGGAAGATGTACCTATGGTCCTAGTAGGAAACAAATGCGATTTGCCTTCTAGAACAGTAGACACGAAGCAGGCTCAGGATTTAGCAAGAAGTTACGGCATTCCTTTCATCGAGACCTCAGCCAAGACCAGACAGGTGAGTAAAACGCGAGTAACTCGTCTGTCCGCAGAGCCTGTCGGGAGATGAGTAATTGAACTAGCCACACTGTCACGGCATCCTGCTTGGGGCAGGAGCACAAGTGGACGCACCTGACAGTGTCGGCTGCTTTTCGCCTGTTAAATCACCTGATGCGATTGATGGGTTCCCTTCCCTTTTTGCTGAACTTCATCTAGCGTGCACAGCACTTTGGGCCTGGTTATCTTTCTTTTGGATAAGGAATGGCTTGGAACAGAGTCTGGGTATGTCGTCCAGGCCGGCCTTAAACTCTTCCTTCTCTCATCTCAGCCTTCTCTAAAGGTCACCGTGCTGGGCATTTTGTTTTCTTTTCACAGTGAGAATTTTTATTAACCTCTGGTCCTGTCTTCCAAATACAGGATTCAAGAAATGCGGATTCCTTTTTTTCAATGATATGTTAAATTGCAACAGCACAGATTTTGAGTTTCTTATTTTACCAGCACTGTTGCGAGTTGTAGTTGAAGAATTTTACTTTGGAGGAACTTTTCTTTTGATACATTTATTTTTGGAGAAACTTCTCCCTAAAGTAAGGGAATATTTAGAAAGCAAATTGAAATGCTCAGGTAACAAGTTTCTGTATTGTTCCTCCAAAAATTAACGTCACATTGAAGCCTGAGTTTTGTTCCAAAACTCATCTTCATTTTAAAAGTGACTTCTTTGGGTGAAGTACAGATGGAGAGATTAAATGTTCTAGAAATCCTAGGAAAGAATATGTAAAGATGGGATGGCGTTGCCATTTCCACATAGGTATTAGCAACATGCCAGTTTATGTTTCATTAATTGGTTTGTAGAGCTTTTCTGTTCCCCTTAAATGTAAAATGTAACTTGTGTTACATTTTAAAAATGTTAGCTCATCACCTGTTACACATACAAAAGCACATTCTAGCTACAGGGGTGTCGGGTTTTATAAACTGGACTTTAGGAAAACTGTTAAGCTCTTCTACTGATCCTTGTATCTCTTTTTGATTAAACAAACTCTGAAACATGAAAAGAACACAGGGAGTTCTGTCTGAAGTTTAATGACCCCTCATGAACAGGTTCAAGGAAGGCTTGGTAGGCATTATCTCAATGTCTTAGACTCAGAGGAACCAGGATTTCACCCGGTCCTTTCCTAGGGTTCCCAAGGACTGCAAAGAGTTTTGTTTTTTCATTATCTTTTTTATTAAAAATTTTTTTTGACAGTCCTGGGGCTTGAATTTAGGGCCTGGGTGCTGTCCCTGAGCTTTTCTGCTCAAGGCTAGCCCTCTACTACTTGAGCCACAGTACCACTTCCAGCTTTTTCTGAGTGGTTTATTATAGATAGTCTCATGGACTTTCCTTCTTGAGCTGGCTTCGAACCGCGATCCTCAGATCTCAGCCTCCTGAACGGTTAGGATTATAGGCCTGAGCTTCTGGTGTCTGGCTCTTTCATTTTCTTTTCACTGTTTTTTTTCCCGACTGTTGGTTTTTCTCAAGAGAGAAAGTCTCAGGAAACAGGAGTATATTTATAACTTCTCTGCTTACATTTCTTTATGAAACAAAAAAACCCCCCCAAACTGAATTGAAAACATTTACAAACCCTACTAACTAGATTCTGCCATGCATTTTTTTTTCCTGCTTGTATTATTTATCACTTTAAAAGATAGGTTTTAGATTCGTGAGCATTTTAGTTGACACTTCCCAAGGTGTGCATGAACCAACTCCACGTAACAGGTCACAGGGGAGTGGAGCCTCTCTGCCTTGTAGCAGGCGCCCCAGCTGAGCCCCCGGGACCAGGAGCGGAGAGGCATCGGATTGGGCCCCACTGAGGAGCCCGCTGGAGTCCTCCCCCACCTCCCCACGCCCCCTGGGCGAGCCTGACACCACTCATAGGCATCTCCTAGGTGGCTGGTTGACTTTATCCCAAAAGTGCTCTTGGATTCCTGCTCGGTGTCAGTGATCTTATGTACTGCACTGATCAGATTGATCTTAACATCTGGGGCTTTTAAACTGGTCTGTAGCCTTGAGTTTCTCGGAATTTCATTTAGCATTTTGAAGGCATATGATTCACTTGAATTGCTTCGCAGCCTTTATGTGGGTCAGCTGATTAATATTAAGGAATATAATATATAAAAAGCACTATCTTACGTTTATGTTGTTTTCTTAATGTCTTTTACGAACTATATGTCCCTAAGCTGTAACTAAGACCTTTAATTTCTCTGTGATTTAAGTGGGCTTGTTGATTTCGCTTTGAAAATAATTTGCTTTGAGAAATTTATCCTCCTTGAAGTGAATTTGATAATTGCATATTTGGAAGATGCAAAAGAGCTGTTCAGAATAACTTTAGAAGTTGTAATCTAACACATCTGTTTTAATAAATTCTACAAGTCTGTTTTTTGTCAAGTTTGAAGTCCTGCCTTTTATAGAATGTTTTGTTAGTCATCTGACAATTTGCATATCCTTACTGTAGTCCACTAGCAATTTCTAACATGCTTTGATTTTAGCCTTGTTCCTGAGCCTAAGATAGAAATACCAAAAAATTAAGATTAATGGGAACTGAAAGTTAATTCAGAAGTTGTCATAGATAGAAGTCCAGGTTTGGTAGATTTTGCTTACAGAGGGCTAGATAATAAATCTTGAGGACTCAAAGTGATTCCTATTGAATGTTGACTTTTTCCCCTTGGTGGCCCTTTAAAAATGCAAAACTCACTGTCGGCTTGTATGTGGTAGAACTAAATAGGCTGTGGCTATATAAACAAAATCTCTTCTAGTACTTTTAAAGATAACTTAAGAAGAACTGTAGATTACATATATATTTATTTATATATATATATGTGTGTGTATATCTATATTATGTATGTATGACATACATAATTTTTTCTTAAAAACACCCATTACCAGGCCAGACTGTTTTTCCCTTTATGACCAGGCTGATCTCAGACTCCTGGGCTCAAATGATCATCCTTCCTCCCTCCCTCACCCCAGTATCTGGGTCTACAGGCACACACCACTGTGCCCAGCTGTATTCCATATTATTTGGTCAGCCTTTATCTGAAAGGAAATGAGTTAGGTTTTGCCATTATGCAGTGTATGGTGTTCATCCTCTCAAATCAGAAGTAGGGACCGAGCCAGGCGCTGGGGGCTCACGCCTGTCATCCTACCTACTCAGGAGGCGGAGATCTGAGGATCACAGTGCAAAGCCAGCCCAGGCAGGAAAGTCTGTGAGACTGTTATCTCCAATGACCCACCAGAAAACCAGAAGTGAGCTGTGGCTCAAGTGATAGAGGGCTCGCCTTGAACGGAAGAGCTCAAGGACAGGGCCCAGGCCCAGAGTTCAAGCCCCATGACTGACCAAAAAAAAAAAAAAGTAGGGACTGCTCAGCAAAGCTGATGCTGACAGAGCAGCGGTCCTGGTGCCCGAGCTCCCACTTGAAGCCTTTTGCATTCTGGAAGTCCCATTTGGCCATAATGTAAAAAATAATTTTCCTCACTTAGAAATGGTGAGTGGCGGATCTCCTGGCTTTGGGCCATTCACTTTCAGATCTGCAAAATGAGTGAACAGAGGACCTCTTACCATAGGTTATTTAACAAACTGTGTAAAAGGCTAACTCGGGTGCCCTGGCACTAACTGTGCATACGAGATTCAGAGCTTGACCTTGACTTTATGAGTTACCACACTGGTGAGATTGGAGCACCTGCTGCGTACCACGAGAGGACTGTTTCACTGGTGCAGGGCTGGGTGGAGTCGGGCACTTCTCAAGGTTGTCTGAGAAAGTTAGGATCCCACGCGAGTGAGTTTTTAGAATGTCTGACAGCGTGTTTCTCTATTTCCAGCCACGAAGGCTGACAGGCACTCAGCTTTCTGTAGTCAGGGTATATAATGCGCTACTTCCTTGCAAGGATTTTTGTAAGTTCAGCAGGAATACTTGATAAAATTAAATCCCTTAAAGAAAGCCAAGACATAAGGATTCAGAATATTCTTCACCAGCAATTGCCTTTCTGTATGGGATCCTTTATATCCTTGTTCTCGTGGTGCGTTTTGTGTTAAAAATACCATCAAACCTTTTGATTCAAGCGGGAATTATGCTTTTTTTATTCATATTTTCCTTGCTTAGAATTTCTTAGGCATTTAGAGTACATGTATGTGTTACAAAGCGATATCCTGTTGAGTGCTAATCAAGAACTTGGTCGTTTTGTCACAGTGGGTACTAAATGTTTCACTTTTTTTTTTTAACAATTATTTACAATTTTGGAGTATCTGTCTGTGCCCGATGCTCTTGTTTTCCACGCTGTGTCTCGTTTTAAATGAAGAGCCAGCACAGGACAGGACCAACAAGACTGGCCTGTCATTTTCATGTCAGAAGGACTTGGAAATTGTTACCAACTAATAACTAACTTAAGTCTTTAAAAGGATGATAAATGACTGCATTAAAAAAAATCTGGTTTGAGTTTCATACGAGGACAGGTTTCTAGGTGCTAATCGGCCTGAATCGGGGGGTGGGTGGGAAGTGGTCTCTTCTTTGTGATTCTTGCTTCCAGTTCTCTCTCTGCATTGCTAATGACAAAATCAAACATCGCGATCCTGGTGATGGGGTGCTCACTGAAAAAGCAGACACACCCGAACTGATTGTAGAAGTACGTTTCAATCAGAATCTGCTCCCGCGATGCATAGATGGTCACTGTGGGCAGCGGTCTCAGCATGTTAAGGCTGAATAAGGGTTTACATCCCTGGAAAATTCCCGAAAATATGAGCTTTTGCCTGGTTTGTCTCTCTAGAACAGGGTGAGACAGTGCTTGAGCTCATTTTGACAGCAGCCTGGACTACTGAGTAAGACATTATCTCAGAAAGCACAAAAGAAAATTCCAGATACATACTTTTCTTAAGGAAAAAGGAACAAAAAAATAATGTTCTCTTGAACATTAATGATAAAGCTATGAAAAAGCTTATATATCTCAGTAGAAGTAGAGATTTAATTTTAAAAGCGGACATTGAATGATTTTTTTTAAAGACCCAGGTATTTTTGTGGTTGTCGCAGCTAGTTGATTAAGTCTATTCCATCAAAATTAAGATAAAACCCGGCCCTGGGCTCATGCCATAATCATGGCTACTCAGAAGGCTGGGATCTGAGGATCAAGGTTCAAAGCCAGCCAGGGCAGGAAAGTCCAAGACTTATCTCCACCATAAAACCAGAAGTGCTGTGTGGCTCAAAGTGGTAGAGCTTTAGCCTTGAGCAAAAGAGCTCATGGGCTATGCTCCAGTCCTGAGTTCAAGCCTCACAACCAACCAACCAAAAAAAAAAAAAGAATTAAGATAAATTTTTTTCTTGGTCAGTAATGATTTTGCTACTAATTTTCGGACAGAAATATGTCATTTGGTGTATGAGAAGCTGGAGGTATACATTTTAATACAGAATATTTGCGTACCTGCTTCTTCACTGACAACTAATTTTATGGATTTTACTATTGTACTTTAAAGGTAACACTTGGTGAATTCCACCAGAGCAGTGCTTTTTCTTGCACCATGTGTAAAAACATGCCTGAAGGAATCGAAGTCTTAGCAGCTGTTCAGGTAGTACGTAGATGTACACAGATGACTCTGAACAAATAAGCCCTGGTTATAGACGCTCTTGTGTTTGCACCAGTGTCTGCTTCTGGATTTAAAACTACAAGTCAGATTTTTGGTCTGTATTAGCTTTTTAAGTGCTGGGTTCATTTTGTCAGATTTAACTCAGAGGGACCTTTCCTTTGACGCTTGCCAACATATGCCACTTCCCAAAGTGAACAACGTATTCTTAAAATACAAAAGGAACAAAATAAGCTCAAAATAAAAATTTAAAGCCAGTAAAGAGATGCCAGCTTTCCTTAAGTGTTTCCATCTTTTAGAAGAATGGTTTGTTCTGGGGCTTGAACTCAGGGCCTAGGCGCTGTCCCTGAGCTTTTTCTGCTCAAGGTGGGTGGGTGCTCTTTGTCTTTTTTCTTTCATTCATTTATTTGTTTTTGTGCCAGTCCTGGGGCTTGAACTCAGGGCCTGAGCCCTGTCCCTGAGCCTTTTTTACTCAAGACTAGCACTCTACCACTTTGAGCCACAGTTCTGTTTCTGGCTTTCTGGTGCTTAATTTAGATAGGAATCTCATGGACTTTCCTGACCAGCCTGGCGTTGAACCAGGATCGTCATATCTCAGGCTCCCGAGTAGCTGGGATGACAGGCGGGAGCCAACAGCACCTGACAACTCAACTGCAAGTCATTTTTAAGGCTGTGGCAAAGATACAAAGAATCCATCTTTTTCTGTTTTCTGTTTACATACTGGTATTTTAATATTTGGCAAACGGCCCGAGTGTCACCTCTCCCATAGACGTAGAAATTGACTGAAAATGTCTAATTAAAGACTGGAAAGCCTTGGGAAAAAATTACATTAAGCGAAGCAAGCCAGACCCAAAGAACCATAGGCTGAATGGTTTCCCTCACTTGTAATAACTAGAATATGAATAGGATATTCTTAGCAGAGGGTCACAATCGCTCAGTAGCTTTGTGCACATGAACTATAAAATGATGCTTATCAAAATGAACCCCCCCCCAAAATGATTGGATGACAGGGCAATCTCCTGACTTGTGTTTGGTTTTAACAAAAGCCTTATGCTCTGTTGCGCTGCATGAGTTAAGAGATACAGGATAGCACCGCAGAGAATTTGTTTTGAGTTAGAAAACATTTAAACCTAACCTGGAGCCTTTTAATTCCACCACTAATAAACAAAAATGCTTGTATAAATAGGTACTGAAAACAGTTTTCATAGTCTTATGCCTAATTAAATTCTTGAGAAGTTCCTAAGCTGACTTTAAAAGAACAAACCAGGTTCTAGCCCATATTTTAAAACTGCATCCTCAGTGGTATTCAGTCTCGGGGGTTTCTAAGAAAATACAATGGAAGCTCATAATCTCAAACTTCTTGCTCATGGCTGCCCCAGGGAATTACTCTTCCCCACAAAACAGTCTTTAAAGAAGTTGTGTTTTACAATGCAGAGAGTGGAGGATGCTTTTTATACATTGGTGAGAGAGATCCGACAGTACAGATTGAAAAAACTCAGCAAAGAAGAAGAGACTCCTGGCTGTGTGAAAATTAAAAAATGCGTAATAATGTAATCTGGTAAGTTCAGCATACCACTTTGGGCAGAAAGCAAGATGTCTTTCAGAAGTAACAAAGTAGCAGCCGCCTGGAACGGCTTTGAGGGTGGTGTTCTAATTTGAAGTATTACAAGAAGAAACCTGGGGTTTATTTCCATAATCGATCTATTTATTGTGATTGTGATGAGTGTGATCTTTGAGACTGTTTGATGATCGTAGTAGACTAACCTACGCTTGCTTTGTACTCTGATGGTATAATTACTCCGACGCTGGATACGCATTGCCTTTTTTTCTTTTTTTTAAGGGGTACTCAGAGTCCTGTATTAAGAAACCAGCTTTTGACTCTTTATAGAAGAGAAACTAAATGTCGTGCAGCGGTCCGATGGAACGGCCCCTCAGGTGGAAAAGGCCCCTCTTGGAATGTTTTTTTTTTCCTTTTGGACAGTGTCTAAACAAAACCACTGCCCTCCAGTGTCCCCCAACGTGCCGGTCCCAGCTGCTCCTCCATCCCTGTAAACACCCCTGCCCTTGCTCTTCACCCCTCTGCTACTGGCTTGCCACATCTTACCCACCTTTGTTCAAGCCTCTCTCATTTCCTGCTGGGCCGCTCCCCCTCCACACTCTTGTGTTTGATGTGTTGCCACTATCATCCACTGGGCATGCAGATACTTGGAGGAAATAGCACCGGTTTGCTCTACACTGAAGTCTAGCATCCTATAGCCAATCATACACCGCCTTCCCGCCTGCCGTCTGACCTGATTGCATTCTGGCATAAAGGGACGCAGTGTCTCCTCCTCCCCGTGAGTGCGTTTCCTGCCCCCGGCCATGTCCACGGGCATGCTCCCTGCTTCTCTTGTCTCGTCAGAATCTACAGCCCTGGTGCTCTTCGTGCGTCTTTCCAACGTCCCATTTTGAGTGATCGTGGCTTCCTCTGTTGCACTGAAATCACCTTTTTGTGTTTCATTCTTACACGAGCAATAGAATCTTGCCTGCCACGTGTAGCTCTTGGCACACCTTAGCTGCTCGGGAAAGACTGATCGAGCACAGCCCGATAGGACTTTTCCTTTATAAGCTAACCAGTATTCAGTTCTGTCTAGCCCAGCGAGTGTTTTGTTCAGTAGGTGACAGAAAATTCATCACAAAACTTGAACGTTTGCCCTGACCTGAATTGTTGTATGATGTAATGTTCTTTGAGGACATAAAATCCAAAACAACTAGGACATCATTTATTATACTAATGAAACTAAAAATTGATTTTGTGACTTTTAGGTCTGAAATAATTTAATATAACCCCCCAAAGTAGACCTATTTCTAAGACTTGTAGAATACTAATCTATTAGCTCAGAATAAACACAGCATTTCTGGCACTTTTGAGATGTATGAGTTGGCTGTTTTTGTATCATTACGTAAAGCAACACTTGAAAAGCTGTGGCTGAATTGAACATTACAGTTCAGTTTGAAAACTTAGCACTTTCACAAAACAGTATCATGGCTAGATTTAAGTGGCGCTTTGCATTCTTTCTGTTGTCTCACTAGGATTTTTTTAAGACAGAACAATTTGGAATAAAGTTTTATTCATTTACATTCGAAAGGAAGCAGTAGCCTCCTGGTGGCTTGTACCTATATAATCCTAGCTACGCGGGAGGCTGAGAGCTGAGAATCAGGACTTTGAGCCAGGTCAAGCAGGAAAAGTCCGTGAAATTCTTATCTCCAGTTCCGCTCCAAAAAGCTGGAAGTGGAGCTGTGGCTCAAGGGTAGCTAGTCTTGAGCAAAAAAGCTCAGGGACAGCATGCAGGCCCTGAGATCACCAGCACCACCACCAACCACCAAAGGGCAAAGGACAGAAACGCATACTATGCTAAGGTTTGAATCTGTGTAGTTCTCAAATTGCATGGAGTGTGAAGGTCAGGTTATTGAATCCTTGCCTTTTAAGCGGACTCAACACTTGTATGAACAAGTATGCTAACGACAGTATCCTTTCTAAATTGCGCACACATCAGCTTTTCATCATCCTGAAGGGGGTGCATCTGAAGTCATCGCTGGGATGCTGGTTTTGTCTTTTATGTGAACATATGGAGAGTGATTCTTCGCCCTTCAGGCAAAAGGAAGCCATTGGCCTACAGAAGCCAATGGTGGCGTCTGCGCAGTCCCTGCAGTGATCTAAGCTAGTGAGTTCAGCTCACGCCGTCCTAAAGCTTAGGAGTCTCGGTTGTCGGAGCCCCGGCGGGTTGGACAGTTTAGTTCTGTTGTCCTCCTGCGTGGAAGGCCGTGCGAGGAGGTAGTGGCTAGACCTCCGTTGTGTGGCCCCAAGGTTTACACTGCCCTCCCTGCCCCCAGGGAGGCCCCTCTGGACAGAAGCTGCCCCTCCGTCCCAGGGAGGCCCCTCGGGACAGAAGCCGCCCCTCCGTCCCGTGCCACCCGTGTTCGCGGACAGCCCGTGCAGGTGTGACGATGTTGAAGGTCTTAGTCATCATCCGTCAGGAGCAGATCATGTAAACGTTGAAGTGACTGTCAGTATGACGTGCTTCTTCCCGTAGGCTGTTTAAATGCACATTATAATACTTGGCTGCTGATCCTTTTCAACACAATGGCTACCACTGGAAAAAACCCCAGTACTTCTGTGTTTTTTGTTGCTCCTAGGCCTTGAACTCAGGGCTGGCACCCTCTACCACTTGAGCCACAGCCCCGCGTCCTCATTGTTTGTTTAATTAGCTTATTTTAAATCAGCTGGAATCAGTTGTGGGGTGTGATTGTGACACACTCGGTGTGTCTTGATCCAACCCTCTCACGCGCTCCCTCATCTCCCTTTCCACGCCGGTCTCAACCAGCTTCACTGGCTCATTTTCACGCCGGTGCGTAGTAAAGTGTTTTGATCCCAAATCCTGTGGCTCCCGGTTTTGTTCACTCTTACACTCCCTCCTCCCTCCCTGTAGTTCCCTGATCAAATCTCCTTCATTGATACAAGTGTGATGTTGGGTACTTGTTCCCACGTCACCCCCTAGTGGCCAAGGCACGTGTTTCGTTTTTGCTTTTATGAACATCTAGTTTGCTTTTTAACAAGAGACCGGGTAAGAGTTGACGCAGGGATCTTGTGTATCGAAGGCCCCACCAATAGCCTCTTTGTAGGTGACCCCTTAAAAGTGGTCACAATCATATTATGGGCTGTTAAGTTCTGCCTTGGAATCATTTTTATTCACAACTGACTTAATACCATTTTTGATAACAAATAGATGCAGGCTTCCATGGCCAGACATTGAAGGTGGTCCGCATTTATATGGCTGGTTTGGGGATTTTCTGCCAGTCCTGGGGCTTGAATGCAGGGCCTAGGCGCTGTCCTGAGCTGCTTTTGCTCAAGGCTAGCACTCTACCTCTTGAGCCACAGCACTGACTTTTTCTGTGTATGTGGTACTGAGGAATCGAACCCAGGGCTTCATGCGTACTAGCCAAGCACTCTACCACTGAGCCACCTGCCCAGACCATGGCTGGTTTTGAAAACATTATCTTTTAAGCTAAACAGAAACTAAAATAATACAAAGAGAATCTCTTCCAGCACCATCTGGTGATGACACTTACTGAGCTCATTTCTCCTTAGGTTAGAGGGATTCGTGTTTTCAAAGTAACACCCTTTGTTGGAGTCATTTTCAGCCTCTTTGTTAATTAAAAGTTTTGAAATGAAGAACATGTGAAAACTGAACACGCTGTCTGGATTCTGTGTATTTCTTGGTAAACCTTCCAGAGGATTTTATGTAGGTACAAAACGAGAAATGACACTTCTTTCATCTAAAGTCGAGCAACGCGCAGTAGGCGGGCATTTGGAGGTTGGTGACTGAGGCTTGCCAAAAAGCGCACCAGATTCATGTGTCCTGGGGAGAAAGCCCTTTGTTAAGCTTGGGTTTGATTCGGGGTCACTGTTATTGCCTGTTGTGAATGCTGTCGTTCCTGTTTTATTAAATTGTTTTTGCTTCCTGAAGGGAAACGTTCAACTGAACCACCATTTCTCAGTGACACTCTGCCGCCGTCATTCTCAACATCTCACTTTGTTTTTAAATTTCAGGGTGTGGACGATGCTTTCTATACATTAGTTCGAGAAATCCGAAAACATAAAGAAAAAATGAGCAAAGATGGGAAAAAGAAGAAAAAGAAGTCAAAGACAAAGTGTATAATTATGTAAATACAGTTTATACTTTTTTCTTAAGGCCTACTTAAGTAAAAGTGGTAATTTTTGTACATTACACTAAATTATTAGCATTTGTTTTAGCATTACCTAATTTTTTTTTCCTTCCCATGCGAACTGTTAGCTTTTATCTTAAATGCTTCTTTGAAAATGACAGTGGAAACTTTTTCCTCTTAAGTGCCAGTATTTCCCTGAGTTTTGGTTTATGAACTAGCAATGCCTGTGAAAAAAAATTACTGAGCACCTGAGATTTCATGCCTCGGGTTTTGGTGCATGCAAGTCGATTTTTTCCCTAATTTTCTTAACAATGGTGAGCGCTGGTGTGAAACACCAGGCTCTGGAATCTTCCCTCCCGTGCGCTCATCTAGTCGCATCAGTGGGCTCCGGAGCCATTACAGCTTCAGTAATGACTTCAGCTTCAGGCGGGTTTTTCTGGAACAGGGAAGGATCCCAAACGGATGGGCTTCCGGGGCCTCGTCTTCACCTTTCCTGCCCTCATCCTGGTCACTCTCCCAAAGATATATTTTTTATAAAAAGGGGGGAAAATGGGGGAAAAAATAAAAAAAGACCCAAGGCAATTAAAAATAATAGAAGAGCATTGACGTTTTTCTACATTGGGTAAATGACTGTAAGACTTCTCTTAGCTTTTCCTGCTAAGGGAGACTCAGTACAAAAATGGGGATCCCAGCAACCATTTGGTGGGGGCGTTCACCCCACACTCCTAAATGTGTATAGTGATCCAGAACCATTTTAACACATTAAAAAGAAATTCTCATGGGAATGAAGTGTAGCCCCCCGTGTCTGACTGCTCTGTCTAGCCTGTTAGTCTGTCTGTGAAAATCACTTTAATTTTAGTCATGATACTTAAGATGGTTTGAGCCAGTTCTAGAGAAGCGGGGGACGAGGAGACGCGGGTTGTGAGGCCAGCCCCCCCGCGAAGCTTTGTGCTTCACCCAGGTTTCACAGCATAGCCCATGCACCCCCATGATCAAAACGTGAATCAGCAGAGGGAGTTCTTGGAGAACTTAACGAGATGAGTTCTCGTTTGGTGGGCCTACCAAACATCGGGAGCCTCACTTCTTCGTTTTTTCTTACTAGAATTAAAAAAAAAAACACCACCTTTGAAATACAAACTTAGAAGTTGAGGTGTAGAAGAGTACAAAGGGCAGTAATTGTGTTTTTCTTTTAACAATGGAAGTTCAGTTTCAGACTGTTTGCTTCCATATTTACAAATCTAATGCTTTAAAAATGAGATGAGTCACTGTTCATGAGAACAGTTCTTTCAGTGAATTTCAAGAATGACTTAAAAATCTTTGCCGTGAAAGGCTGTGGTGAAATGGAATGTCCTGGACTTTAGGTTTTAGTTCTGTCTGACTCTGGGCACATCGCTGTCCGCTTCAAATCAGCTCCAAGGCACCTACCATGCGATTCACATGCAGTTTACGTACAGACTCACTCGTTTGTCCGGCTCAGCACAATCTGTAGCTCCTTACTTGGATTCTCATCCTCAGTGTCCGTCTCCTGGTCAAAATTGTGCAAGAGGTTTTTATGTGAACAGTCTTTCTCCAGCTTGGGATTCCTCCTCTCTCAGCTGTCACTTGGCTTGCCTGGCCTGCTTTTCCACGCACCTGTGTCTCAGTGTAGCTTAAAACGGTGCCATTGCCCCTCCTCCGGTTCTATTGCTGCTGTGGAGCTCGGCGTACGAGGTTGTCAAAGGTACATCAGCGTTGCTGTGTCTAAAATCATCTGACAGATACCATAATGAGATGCAGACGCCCGAGTTACTCCTTCCCTGGTGTGTGGCTGCAGTTTAACCTTGACTCTTTCCGCCTCCTCTCTACTGTCTGATCCATTCGTTGCTGATGATGGAAGGGACTTTCGGAGTAGTTTACAGAGACCCCCCTATGCAGTAGGAGGAAAACTTAGTAAAGGAGGTGCTGAAATGTGCATCTCAGACTCAGTCCTGATTTTTAAAAAGGATACATTCCATTGTACAAGTCAAAACTCTTACCATGAAAAGGAACTTCCACAATTGAATGAATAAAGGTGTTTTTTCTTCAAAAAAAATAATCTGTTCACCAAGTGTTTATTCAATGCCTGTGGTAAAGTAGCCTCTGCACAAGACCCTGGGGCTGTTCTGTCTCTGTTTCCCAGTCTTAAGTAGCAGAGTCATCTGGAGGATTTTCATCAGGCATGCAGCGTGGGACTGTAGAGAGAATGTAGTGCAGTTTTTTAACTTTTGGGGGGGGTTGGGGGGCCGCGTGGTGGCTGAAGGTTCTTGTTTTCTTCCTTTGTGCGAGGGGCTGGTGGTGCAGCCTGCACGGTCCTGTGTGCCAGGCATGCTCAGCTCCATTCCCAGGCCTGTCAGTGTCGGGCGGACCCAGCGCAGCTCTTCCGTCAAGCCGCCTTCTAGAGAGTACTAGTTTTAAAAGGAGTGAAGTTCCCCTGGTAGTTTAGCTTTTCTCTGGGATAAGTAACTAAGGCTTTAGGATCTTTAGGTAGGCATGAAGCTTGGCGTCGTGACCTCTTGCTTTTATAAAAGGGCGCGCCCGAGGAATTCCAGTGTGTAATGTTCATTTCAGACTCTTGAATTTTGGATGCTGCTGGGCAGTTTTTCTAAGGTGGTTTTAATCTTGATGTGCATTTTGACTTACGTGAACCTTCTGTTAACAAAAGGTTTTAGTAGAGATGTTCAAAGGGGCGGGGGGGGTTCCCAGTCGTGCACATCATTACCTGATTGATTAGTACAGCCTGGAGTCCACGATGAACTGAAGAACTCCCGATTCTATAGTCGTAGGCATTAAGGTGGGTGGGTGGGGACATAGAGGCATACATAGTATAATCTGAGTGAGTATATTCAGTTAGGAACTTTGTACCTGTTGACTGAGTCACACTTGCGTAGCAATTTAGAACCTAACTGGCCACCATTGCACAATTTTGTCCTAAGGTTTGTAGCTTTGTGAGGCATGGTGAATGAGTTTGCACCAGTTCATCTCATTTATATTCTAGTAATTTTTTCTCCCCTCCCAGCCATCTTTTCCTCACAAACAATTTAAGTGAGGTATTTTTTTTTTCCTCTTGTTCGGTAGCAGGCAATATGTAGTCATTTCCATTGGACAAGAGTTGTCATTCGTTATGTCGTCATCTTTTTAAAACCCAGCAATGACTTCAAAATTGAATTTATATCTACTAGCTTCTGTATTGTTATTGGATAGCATGAATTCTGCATGGGGAAATGGAGTAGCACGAGCTGGTAGCTGGAAAGTTCTGTCAAAAATGAAAATGATTTCTTCCTAACAACAAGGCATTTGTTCTGAAAGAATAGTCCTAACTCGATGGCAAGCTGTGTGCTAGCTTGAAGTGCCTCTGTGGGATGGGAAATTTGGGGAACACAAAGTGATCTGCAGAAAAGGTTCATTTCAGAAGCTTCCCTCCCCTGTGGAGCTCACTGGGTTACACTTTCTCTGGAAGTTTCCAATTCCACTGTCTTGTGTTTTCATGTTGAAAATACTTCTGCATTTTTCCTTTTGAGTGCCAATTTCTTACTAGTACTATTTCTTAACGTTATTACCATGTTTACCTGGGATGTATTTTGACTATTTTTGTATAGTGTAAGCTGATACATGCACACTTTGTGCATTGTGCTCTGTGTGTGTGTGTGACATGCACATGCACAGTGTGATCCAGTCTCTTCCATCATTTGGTTGCTCTGACCTGGGAACATCGGTCATTTCAAACATTGAATTTTAAAACGACCATTCCTTTAATTAACTTTTAATGTTTATAGGAGTATGTGCTGTGAAGTGATCTGAAATTCGTCATATTTTTGTCATGAACTGTACTGCTCCTAATTATTGTAATGTAATAAAAGTAGTTATGGTGACTTGTAAGTGTCTTCTTTCCTTTTTAAAATTCAGTCTTTAATTTTTATCTTGCTTGGGTGCTGGAACTTTAGCCAGGGCCCTGTGTGCTGGGCAAGCACTTTGCTATGAGCTACACCCCCAGCCCTGGCCCTTTCTTAAGGGAAACTGGAAATGGAGATCTTACAAGAGCCAGACCCTGGTGGCTCAGGCCTGTCATCTTGGCTGTCAGGGGGCTGAGATCTAGGGGTCACAGTTCGAAGCCAGCCCAGGCAGGAGTGTCTGTGAGAACCTCCAGTAAACTACTCAGAAAAAGCTGGAAGTGGCGCTGTGGCTCAAGTGGTAGAGCACCACCTTGAACACAAAGAGGCTCAGGGACAGCGCCAGGCCGTGCCTTCAAGCCCCAGGACCAGCAAAAAACAAGAGATCTTGTAAGGCAGACACTAAAGGATACCAGTGAGATCTTTATTATTCAGCTTTGAAATCAGAAGCGTCCTCTGTACGGTCTTCAGACTGTTAAAGTACTTGCTTAAACTTCAATGCAGGGGTGGGCCTTGTCGCACTAACTCACTCAGGAGCTTTTACAACATTCCTGATGGCTTGTCGGGATCCTGCAGCCAGATTACAAATAGCTGTGTTGTGCCGTTGTGGCGTCCTCCCTCACACAGCTCTGCGCTGGGCTGGACACACCCTGCGGAGCTGCTGGTGGGTCGGGAACCTGGAAGGTGCGCTTGCGTGCACCAGCCAGGGGACGTAAGCAAGCGCTTTGACGGTAAAATGGAGAAATTGGCCAAGCATGATTGGCTAAAACGTTTAAGTTAGGAAACTTAAGTCTATTATATTTTGTTTCCAAATTGGGTACTCAATTCATGAACTGGTAATATCACTAAATTGTCCTTTAATGATATTACCTGATAACGTTTAATAATTTTTTATTTATAATATTGGTAATAATAAAATGTTGGTAATAAAACTGAACATAAAGGCTTGTGGATATAGCTCACAGTGTCATTACGATTGAATTCTATTAATTGTACTCCAATCGGTCAGCTCAGGTCCTGACATAAATGATGTCTATGTGGCCATTTTAAGGTAGAGTAACTTTATAATACCTGGTACACACACAGAGTTGCATTGATTTTTCAGCCAATTGATAGTGTCATGATCAGTTAGTGCTGGTATCTGGATAATAGCGTTGTTTCATGGCCCTGTATTTCCTAAGGAAGTATAAGGCTTCTAGCTCTTTCATTACAAATTCGCCTCGCTTAATAAGTTCTTTGATCTTCTCTGGATCTTTCACGTCTTTGTTTTTAAGAAAAACGTTCTTCAAACGCCTTTTAAAATAGTCTGCTCCTTTCGGGTAGTCCCGGCCAAGAAACAGCAGCTTGAAAAAGAAAGAGTTTATGTTTCTCAACACCGCACATCACACAACATACTGAGTAGCAAGCTAGAAAGCGGACAGCGCCATTACTTACATTCTTATACAGATTCAGAACTTCTCCTCTTAAAGGATTGGCCATTTTCACTTAATGTGGAGATCGATCCCCCTTTTAGACATCACACCTGGAGAAAAGGAAGATTGCTTTTGTAAAAACCATCGCTATCTTTCTTTAAATACTGGGAAAACGGAGTATTTCAGGCACAGTTTGAGAAAAGGGGGTGCTTCAGAAGAAGGGTAAAAACTACTTGGAAGAATCTGGATGTGAAGAGAAAAATGGGAGAACAAAACTGCAGCGACCGAAGGCTGAAGGCTGCTGAAGCAATTCTTCAGCACCTGCTTCAGTGAGCAAGCTCAGTGCTACAAAAGACAGCAGCAGCTCGATTCGAGGCGCGGTGAGCCTTCAGATCTGTCAGGCCCGGGAGAAGGGAACCCTGCTCAGCTGCTTTAGGTTTCTAAGGCTGTTGAGAATCTTGTGTGGGGTGTGTGTGGGCGAGGGTGTAGTAAGCTCAATACAAGAGCCCAGGGGCTCTTGGTGGAACAAAGGTTCCCCAGCCCTGGAACCCAGGCACGCTGTCCCCGGTCTCCCCAGAGTTGTGGGGGTTCCGTGTGCGGTCCGTGTTTAATACGACTGCCCGATGAAAGGGTCTCCACCCTAAAATCCTTTCTTCAAGGAGCCCATCGCATCTAAGACCTAGAGAGAATGTTCTAGAAAGCAAGCTGCGGTGCTAGAAGCACTCATCACCTTGCTCAGTGAACTGAAGTTGCGTGTGTGCGTGTGTGTCTCGTGGCGCACGCACACAGCCCGATTCTGCACTCACGTCTGTGATCTGTTGGCACACGGTGGCCTTATTTTCACGGGTTGCCTCCTTCCAGGTTTTCACTCCTGGCCACCAGTGAACGTTTGTCGGTCGTGGGGCTTGAACTCAGGACCTGGGCGCTGGCCCTGAGCTCTTCTTTGCTCAAGGCTTGTGCTCTACCCACAGCTCCACTTCGTTTTCTGGTGGTTCACTGGAGATCAGAGTCTCACGGACTTTCCTCCCTGGGCTGGCTTTGAACCGCCATCCTCGGACCTCAGCCTCCGCAGTAGCTGGGATGCCAGGAGTGAGCCACGGCGCCCGGCTGAGCCGTCCCGGTCACTGCCACCCCTCAGACACCTGCGCTACCGCGAGGCCACAGCCGGTGCCGCCTCTCCACCAGGGCCGCCTGCCTCCCTTTCTCCCCAGAGACCACGCCAGAGCCGGTGCTGGGCTGTGGCCTACACCCCTTCACCCCTAGAAGCTCACGGCACCCAGCTCCTCCAAATGCCATTTGCACTGAAGTCGTGAAGGAAGGAATGAATTTTAAAAACAGATTTTGCCAGGCGCCGGTGGCTCCCGCCTGTCATCCCAGCGACTCAGGAGGCTGAGATCTGAGGATTGCGGTTCAAAGCCAGCCCGGGCACGAAAGTCCGTGAGATTCTGATCTCTACGGAAGTGGCGCTGTGGCTCAAGTGGTAGAGCGCCAGCCTTGAGCTGAAGAGCTGAGGGACAGCGCCCAGACCCACAGTTCAAGCCCCACGACAGACCAAAAAAAGATTTTACATCAGCTCTATGTGAATCATGGCAAGTAGATTCTGTTTAAAACGCGGTGCTGAGCAAGGAGTGCATGACTGTCATACTCAGGAGAGGCCAGAGGAAAACCAGTTGAGGCCAGCCTGGCTATACAGCAAGACCACTGTGGTAAGAAACCCCAAACAATAATTAAGTTAAGACCTCCCGTTACTTGCGGGTGCCAGTGCTGGGGCTTGAATTCAGGCGCTGTCCCTGAGCTTTTGTGCTTAAGGCTGGTGCTCTACCACTTGAATCACAGCTGCACCTCTGGCCTTTTGCTAGTTAATTGGACCTAAGTGTCTCACAGACTTTCCTGCCTGGGCTGGCTTTGAACAGTGATCCTTAGATCTCAGCCTCCTGAGTATCAGCTGGGATGACAGGTGTGTGCCAACAGTGCCTGGCTCCATTGCTTGTATTTGCTCCCCCTCTTAGGCAATTTGACAAAATCGACATCACTTACAAATTCCCGGAGCAGAGTGCCCGAGCCTCCAGTAGCTCTCGGGGGGTCTCGTAGAGCCTAATTCTAGCCGAGTCCCTCCCACACGCTCCATGCCCGTGCCCTAGGAGAATTCACATGCAGACCGAGCCTTTCCCGCACGCTCAGTCATTCGCTTTCCAGCTTCTGACTTCTGGCTTCTACTGAACTCCTAACGACAGTATTTCACCTCCACCAACAAAAAACATCTCTGGATGGCCAGGTGGCAGCATGCACCTGTCATCGGTTGCCTGGAGACTGCAATCCGGAGGTTTACACTCAGGAAGCCCAAGCTGGGAATGCTGACATGTGCGCACCCTCCCGGCGACGGTAGGAAGCTAAAACAGGAGGCCTGCAGTCCAGGCCAGCTCCGGTGAAAAGCGGGACCCTAGCTCAAGATAACCAGAGCCAACAGGGCTGGAGGTGTGGCTCACGCGGTCAAGGGCCTGCAGTCACCACGAGTTCGAATCCTAGTACCACCACCACCAGACAGGTCTTGGGCAGAGTGATGTCTCTTCTTCTGTGTGAACTGAAGCGACTGACTTGCAAATGTTTTGCAATTGTTCTGCATCAATGTCATTTCATAGAGCAAACTCTGGTGTAGTGAGTCACCTGGCGGGTTCGGCTGCAGGAGTCGGTTGTGTGATGTGTGAAAGCTTTCGTGAGCTCCGGCTTCAGCCGGGCTGAATTGTCAGTTGGTCTTTTCTTAAGTTAGGAAGGAAGAAAGAAGGAAATAGTACCGCCGAGATAAATGTGTCTGGTTCTCTGATACTAACATAGATAGATCAAGACAGTTGTTCATCATCATCATCATCGAACTGACTTTAATTTCCAATTCAGGAAACACACCGAGTGCAGGAAGGGGCTCTGGCCGCTTCCTAAGCCCTGCACAGCATCACGGAAGACACGAGTGAGGGAGAGGAGAGGCGGCTGCCACCCGGAGCCCCGGGGCCTCGGTCCTGCAGGCCTCGCTGCCCAGGCTGCGCTGGGGGCTTTTCCTCCTTTGGGCGAAGGGGTTAAGACTTCCGCTCCAGTCCTGGACAGACAGACAACTGTCCCCTTACCAGAACACTGTGTGGACAAGGACTAGGTGTTTTCATATCTGGATCTGGCAAAGATCATTCTCTCAAGCTTCGGATTCTAAAGGAGAATCGCCAAAGAGAAGCAGCCTGGAGCTGTTGAGGTCCATTCCCCAGACCAGCGCCTGTCAGAGCCTCACCCTGGGTGCCAGGCTGCTGGCGCCTCTGATCCTAGCTACTCAGCCAGGCTGAGATCAAAGCCAGCCCAGGCAGAAAACGGTGGCATTCTCATCTCTATTAAACCACGCCATGGAACAAGTCTGAGCGAGGCTCAGGGGGCAGAGCCCCAGCCTCGGGGACGGCACCCAGCCCCAGGAATGGCACCCCAACACCAGTACCAGAGGGTGTGCGGCCAGAAGGGTCCTGCGGTGGTGGTCAGCCTGGAACACAGGCCACACGCACTGGGGTGGGAACAGGACTCCCCGCTGCTCCAGGCCTGTGTGGGGAGCTGGGGCGGCCAAGGGTGCCGGCCCCAGCCCTTCTGGCACGTGCTAGAACATGATCCAGCGTTCCTAGGAATCTAACATGCATGTAGAAGACAGCTTTCCCTGTGAAACCCGTCATTCCCGGGGCATTTGGAATTATTATATATTATATATGTATTGTATAATTCTATATATTACATATATTACATATTCTATATATTCTATACACTATATGTAATGTTATGTATATATTGTGTTATATGTTATATATTCTATTATATATGTATTTATAGTCTATATATTCTATATATAGTACATAGTCTATATTCTACATATTGTATACATCATATGTAATATGTATATATTATGTTATATTTTATCTTGTATATTCTATAGTCTATATATTCTATACATTGTTATATATTATATATTGTTTATATGTAGTTATATATCATATATTCTATACATGTTATAAATCTATTATGTATACATTATGTTATATATCTATTATGTATATATTACATATGTTATATATCTATTATGTATACATTGTTATATATTCCACGTTATATATTATGTATGTTATATGTCATATCTATCATGTATATGTTATATATCTATTATGTATATATTATATGTCATACATTATGTTGTATATTATATATAATGTATAATTATGTTATATATCTATTATGTATATATTATTTAATTATATATTGTGTTATATATCATATCTATTATGTATATGTTATATATTAGGTGTTATATATCATGTATACATTATATGTCCTATATCTATCATGTATACGTTATATATTAGGTGTTATATATATAATGTATATATTGTATATGGTATATATTGTTATATATCACATATGATGTGTACATTATACGTTATACATCATATCTATCATGTGTACGTGTTATATATTAGGTGTTATATATATAATGTATATATTATATATAGTATATATTGTTATATGTTATGTATGATGTGTACATTATACGTTATACATCATATCTATCATGTATGTATGTTATATATTAGGTGTTATATATCACCCATATCATATACACTATGTATCACAGCGTCGTCGGGCCCCGCGCGGGCTCCCGCCCCAGGGCCTTTGCTCGGCCCGGCCGGGTCAAGGTCGCGACCTTGGGGACGGGCGCCCCGGGAATCGCGGGCCGAGGGAAGGTGCTGGAAGGCGCGGCCCCCGCCCCGCTCCCACCGCGCGGACCCCGCGACGCTCACCCCGCGCGGCTCCGGCTCCGGCTCCGCCTCCGCCTCACCGAGAGCCGTAACGCGAGCCCGCCGTGACGACGAGCGCTTTCCGGCCGGCCGCGAGCCGTGAAAGCGGAGGCGCGGCCCGACAGTCCCCGCCGGGGCCGGAAGAAGCCCCACGCGACTGCGCGGACCTGGGGGGCGGGCCTCCGAGCAGGGTCCGGGCTGGGGTAGGTGTGGCCTGTTGTCTTGACAACCGGGTGTGGGCGTGGCCTAAGACGACAGGAGCCCCGAGGACGGAGACCGGAAGTGCTCCAACGTGAGTGTGTCTCCTTGGTTCTCCCTTGTGGGTGGGTGGGGCCTGTCGTCCGGGCAACAGGAGTCTGTGGGCGGAGTCAGCGACCGGAAGAGCCCCAATGCGGCTGTGCGGGGGAGGCGGGGCCTGTTGTCCTGACAACCCGGGAGCGTTGGTGGCGCGGAGCGGCGCGGAGGGGCCGCGGCGCCGTCGCCTCGCCATGGTGAGTGAGCCGGGAGGGCGGCCGGGGCTGACCGGGGCTGACCGGGGGCTGACCGCCGACAGCGGCCGACGCGGAGTCGGGAACCCCCGTGTCGGTGGGGGCGGGGGGCTCCCCGACCCTGGGCCCGCGCCCCCCACCCCGCCGGGAGGCCGCCTCGGCCCCGCCCGAGCTCTCGCGAGGCTTGGGTTTCCCCGCGGGACGCGTCGCGCTCCGGTTCCCGCCGCTTCCGGCCGGCTGTAGAGGAGGATCCCCTGACCACGGGGGCCGTGCGCGGGGCAGGCAAGAGCGGATCGCCAGGAGCAGTCACCCATCAATCACCAAGCAATCAATCACCAAGCAATCATCATCAATCAATAATCAATAATCAGACAGGTTCGGGTATCAGAAAAGACCGGACCAGGACTGTGCCTGCAGAGCCAGCCAGACACCATGATCAATCATCCATCAATCATCAATCACCAATCATTCACCAATCAATCATCAATCAGACAGGTTGGGATATCAGAAAAGACTGGACCAGGCCTGTGCCTGCAGAGCCAGCCAGACATCATGATCAATCAATCATCAATCACCAATCAATAATCAATCAATAATCATCAATCACCAATCAATAATCATCAATCACCAATCAATCATCAGTCACAATCAATAATCAATCATCAATCAATCAGACAGGTTTGGGTATCAGAAAAGACCGGACCAGGCCTATGCCTGCAGAGCCAGCCAGACACCATGATCAATCAATAATCATCAATCAATCACCAATCAATCAATCAGACAGGTTTGGATATCAGAAAAGACTGGACCAGGCCTGTGCCTGCAGAGCCAGCCAGACACCATGATCAATCAATAATCATCAATCACCAGTCAATCAATCATCAATCAGACAGGTTCGAATATCAGAAAAGACCAGACCAGGCCTGCGCCTGCAGAGCCATCAGACACCATGATCAATCAGGTTTGAATATTAGAAAAGACCAGATCGGGCCTGTGCCTGCAGTTAGCAGGAACACCATAATCAATTGATCAACCAGATAGGTTTGTATATCAGAAGAGACCGACCAGGCCTGTGCCTGCAGAGCCAGCCAGACACCACGATCAATCAATCAATCATCAATCAGGTTTGAATATCAGAAAAGACCGGACCAGGCCTGTGCCTGCAGAGCTAGCAGGAACACCATAATTGATCAATCAATCAATCAGTCATTAGTATCCGTGAGCTGTGTAAGGGCCCCTCCCTGACAGATGATCTATAAGAAAGGAGTATTGGGTGTGACTTCAAGCTCAGATTTAGGGAAGAATGGCCGTTCCTCTTCCCCGTCTCCTGACACCTTAGAGCATCTTGGTACTTGATGAATTTACAAACAACAAAGTATTTAATCTTTTCTTCTTCTTTTCCAATTTTCAGGGTCCCAAAGCAAAAAAGGTACGTGGAAATTATTTTCTGGACGTAGATCTCTGAAAATACTTCCCTCTGCAGTTTCTTTTTTTTTTTTTAAGTGCTTGTGTATCTTGTAGTATAGTTTATAGAACTTACTGGACTTCTTAGAGGAATTGGCCTGTGGCCAGCGGCCCGGCCCACTGTCATCCTAGCCACCCAGGAGCCTGAGATTGTAGGGCCGCCCTGCGGCCAGCCTGGATAGGAAATTCCACGAGTGAGACTCTTATCTCCAATTAACCAGCCAACAGCTGGAAGCAGAGCTGCGGCTCAAGTGGCACAGCTGTAGTCTGGAGCAAAAATGCCCAAGCAGTGAGTTCAAGCCCCATGTCCCTCCTCCCCCTCCCCCTACACACAAAAAAACAGAATAATGCTTTACAGTCACATGCGTATTGCAAATTTGGATGTGATGTTGAGTTTCACAAATATACTTTGCCAGAAAACCACACAGCTATCCAGTCACAAAGAGCCAAGGAAAGGTTTATTGCCGGCAAAGGGACCAGCAAGACCCCTTCTCCCAAGAGAGAAGAGCCTGTTGTTGTCTGAGGAGACCTGTGTAACCTCCATGATTAGGGGTGGAGACCCCGGTGGAGATGTGTGGATCAGGGGCTTCATCATGGCGGGCTGGGGCTTATGGCTGCCGCCCAAGGACTAGGTAAGGGGTCTTGCAGCTGCCCAGTCTTCAAGGCCACTCTAAGAGGACCCTGCTGCCTTATATATATGGTGGTAGCTGCCCCCAAAGAGCGCCATCTCAAGGTAAAGGGTAAATGGGCATAGTGTTGCCTAGGGAAAGCCTGCTAGGTTCTGAGAGTGGAAGCTACTGAGCCAACATTCCCCACGTGTTGTCTTACTAATTGTGCGAGGGAAACAGGTTGGGAGCAGGGGCGAAGGTGCTTTGTTCTGGACGTGCTTCCTGCTGAGAAGGGGGTGAAGGAGCCAGTGGGGCTCGCCCCACCAAGAACCCTCCTAGGAGCATTGGATCGATGGATTGGAAAGTCTCGTCTTTCCCATAAGGATGGTTTGTAGGCGCAGGTAAAAACAAGAACAAACAAACAGCCACTGGGTAGGCGACGTGGCCCCTTGCCTATAAAATGCATTCGTAGTGGGCATAAGTACGCTCGCCCCTTCTTGGTTCTATTCTGAAGCTGGGCAGGAGTGTCGTTTTCCGACGTTTAGTGTATCATCTATTGATTTCTAACGTATAGCATCAGCATCCGCCAGGGCGTCCCGTGGGGGCTCTTCCCGCTCACAGGAGTCAGCATGGCTAGCCTGTGGCGTGGTCGGGGCAGAGGAGAGGCTGGTTTAAGTTTTGTAGGACTAACAGAGAGGTCGCAGTCCTTCGGGCCAGGGGGCATCAGACGTCGTAATGCTCGCGGTCCTGCTGGACACCAGCTAAACAGCGCATGAGGGACCCCAGCCTGGGACAGCAAAGCCTCTGCAGCCGTGGCGGGAGCTGCCTTGAGGAAGCACAAGGACAGGTAGCGGGAGACGTACAGGATGTGGTGTTTTAGGTGAGCAGCATTTGAGGAGGTGGGGGGGGGGCCGCTGCCCCTCACCCCACCCGGGGGCACGGGTTGGCTGTCACCTGTCTGGAGTGCATACGCCGGCCGGCCATGGCGTGTCCTGTCTACCCCTGCCCCTCTGCAGTGCCTGAGGACCGCGTCCCAGCTGTCTTGGCCTTGGAGACACTCAGAGCAGCGAGGTTGCTTAGGCCAGCGGTGCTTGTGGTGCCTAGACGAATCCAGGAGGGGGCAGGCTCGGACCTGCACAGCCGTAGATCCAAGCAGAGAGTCAGGGTCCTTTCTGCTTGGCAGAAAACTGAGCGGCCGCTGTGTGTGCGACCCACGCTGTTCAGGAGTCTTTGTACGGTCTCCAGCGTTCACGGGGCACTCGGAAGGCTGCAGGCACGCAGATGCTACAGGAGGGAGGCCACGGCCTGAAGCAAGGGAGGTAGAGGCACGTGACTTTACAAGGGCGAAGCCGCCGGGCACCCGTGGCTCACGCCTGCCATCCCAGCTACTCAGGAGGCTGAGAGCTGAGGATCGCGGTTCAAAGCCAGCCTGGGCAGGAAAGGCCTTGAGACTCTGATCTCCAGTGAACCACCAGAAAACCAGAAGTGGCGCTGTGGCTCAAGTGGTAGAGCACCAGCCTTGAGCTGAATATCTCAGGGACAGCGCCCAGGTCCCGAGTTCAAACCCCATGACCGACAAAAAAAAAAGAGTATAAAGTTTATTCTGACCATTATTTCCTAAACAATAGGATGACAGTATTTACACAACATTTACATTACGTATTGTAAGTGATCTAGAGAACATTTAGCTGTATAAAAGGACATGAGTAGATTATATGGAGGTAATAGATCCCTTCCTTCCTCCCCTTCCCACCCTCCCTCCCTCCCTCCCTCCCTTCCTCCCTTCTTTCCTTCTTTCCTTCCCAGTCCTGAGGCTTGAAATCAGGGCCTGGGCACTGTCCCTGGGCTTTTGCTCAAGGCTAGCACTCTACCGCTTGAGCCACAGCACTGACTTTTTCTGTGTGTGTGGTACTGAGGAATGGAACCCAGGGCTTCATGCATGCTAGCCAAGCACTCTACCACTGAACCACCTTGCCAGCCTTGTGTCTTGTTTTGTTTTGGTAATGTTTTCATTTCTATGGTGCCAGTCCTGGGGCTTTGAGCTCTTGCTTGACTTTTTGCTCACACCTGGCTTCTGCCACGTAAGCCACAGTTCCACTTACAGTTTTTAACTGCAGGGGTTACAGGTGTGAGCTACCAGCACCCGGCTAGCACAGGTTTTATTGCCAATTGCTATATAAACATTGTACTTGATCTCTGCTATTAAATAGCAATTTACCAAACTGGTAAAGTTGTTCTTCAAGTACATTTGAGTCATAAAAATCCCTTTCATGTTTACAGACAATTTCTGAGCTGTATTTACATACGTATTACTTTCTTTCATCAATGGGATGAGCTTCTCTTTGCTATTATTTTGAAGCTAGGAAACTAGAAATGAGCAGCTTACCTAAATTGTGTATATATGTCATTCTCTGCTTTTGAGTAATTTACAAGCTGATCTGTCTGTCTGTCTGTCTGTCTCTGTCTGTCTCTCTGCCAATCGAGTGGCTTGAACTCAGGGCCTGGGTTGCTGACTTTGAACTTTTGTGTTAAAGGCTAGTAGTACTCTACTCCTTGAGCCACAGCTCCACTTCCAGCTTTATGGTGGTTCATTGCAGATAAGAACCGCATGGACTTTTCTGCATGAGTTGGCTTTGAACTGCGATCCTTTGAACTGAGATCTCATCTCAGCCTCCTGAGTGACTGGGATGACAGGCATGAATCACTGATGTCCAGTCAAGCTGATTTCTCTTACTTGCCTCCAGATGTGTCTTTCGATGTCTGCACACTTTGAGGTTATCTTGTCTGCACGAAGAGTTGGTTTCCCGAAAGCAGAAGTGTTTGAGGAATGTGTGTTTTGTAGGTAACTTGGAGGCACGTTAGTAACCTTTGTATATGTTGTGGGCTTTGTTAAGGGTCCGGGTAAGAAGAAACTCACCAAAGCCGAGCGTCTGAAGCTGCAGCAGGAGGAAGAGGAGAGGCGACTGAAAGAGGAAGGTGCAGAATCTTCGGTGCTCTTTGCATCTGTAAGGGGAGCTGGCAGTAGGCTGGTGTTTCCATGCCCAGTCATCTTCTTTTCAAAACTCTTCACATAGTGTGAAAAAGCTAAGGGCCAGCACCTGAGCCCTGCGTTTTCACCCCGGTACCATCTTGAAGCTCTAGTACAATTCTCTCATTTCAGTCTCTTTTGTTGGAGTCTCACAGACTCTCCTGCCTGGGCAGGCTTTGCGCTGTGATCCTCCTATCTCAGCCTCCCGGGTAGCTGGGGATGGCAGGCCTGCCCCAGCAGCTTAAGAGCCTAAACCAACAGCAGCCTAATCCCTGAGCTCATTCTTGATGCTTTGGTGCTTTAGAGGAAGCCCGATTGAGATTCGAGAAAGAAGAGCAGGAAAGGCTGGAGCGCATGCGAATCGCTGAGGAAAAATGGCATCAACTTGAAGAAAAAGTGAGTAGAAACGAGCGATGATCTTTGTGGGGGGAGAGGCAGAGTTTGAAGTCAGGGACTCAGGCTCACGCGACAGGCAGCTTACCACGTGAGCGCGAATGTTCTGTTTTTTAAAATTTATTTTTCATATCATTAAGAAGTTGTGCAGGGGGCTGGGAAGGTGGCTCAGTGGTAGAGCGCTTGCCTTGCATGCCTGAGTCCCTGGGTTCGATTCCTCAGCACTGCATACGCAGAAAAAGCCGGAGGTGGTGCTGTGGCTCAAGTGGTAGAGCGCCAGCCTTGAGCTGAAGAGCTGAGGGACAGCGCCCAGGCCCAGAGTTCAGCCTCCATGACCGGAAAAAAAAAATTGCACAAAACGGTTTCAATCCAGCACATCTGTCTGTCTGTCTGTAAGTCCCAGGCAGCTTGATGAAGCCACCCCTCCATTCTCCTCCGCCCCTCAAGTTCCCGGACTTCACGTCCCTGTGACTCAGAATACCGGCTGCGCTCGCCCGCCTTCCCCTCTTGCGCATTCGCCCCCCTTGCCTCGTAGTCCTTTGGTTCAGCTCTTGGAGTGAGTTACTGCCGGAGGCTCCCCTGTGTGCACCGGGCTTCCGTTCACAGGTTCCTGCAGCATGTTAACATCCGCTCATCAATTAGACCTGACTTCCATAGATGAGAGAACAGGCCTGCCTCGTCACGTGGGGCCCGACCTACTGCAGTTAACACGCTTTCAGAATGAAATCGTGTCATTCTTCATTATGTATGAGTAAAGTTCCATTGTATACACATAACACACGAGTACACATATGTATATGACACATAACACACAATGTTATATGTAAATGTTATATATTATATACTATATGATTACATATAATGTATATCATCATGTGCATGTTATATATGACGTGTCACACTGTATCATATATAATTATTTGTACATATATGTAATATAGTATATAATTTATAACATTGTTATATAATATATAATATATATGCTATAGTAATATAATTACATAGCATATACTTATATAATAAGTATATATTATTATGTGTGTCATGTTATCTGTATTACATATTGTATGCATATAGATTGATATATGCATATAGATTATATATAATATGATGATATATATCATTACATATGTGTGTATATATATATATATATATATATTCTATACATAGACAATGCTTCACTTTACATTCAAGGCCTCAAGCTTGCTACCCAGGAACTCTTGCTGCCAAGTGTGACCCCAGCCATATTGTTTTGCGGGTTCATGTGACACATCCCTTCCTGCGTGGGCACGTGTGGGTGTCATCGGCTTCTGCTGGGCTTTTTCTTTTCTTTTTCCTTTTTTTGTACCAATCCTGGGGCTAGTACTCAGGGCCTGGGCGCTGTCCCTGAGCTTTTTTGCTCAAGGCTGGCATTCTACCACTTGAACCACAGCTCCACTTCTGGCTTTTTGGGTGATTCCCTGAAGATAAAAGTTTTATGTCTTGGGGCCGGGCGCCAGTGGTACATGCTGTCATCCCAGCTACTTGGGAGGCTGCGATCTGAGCATCATGGTTCAAAGCCAGCCCTGGCAGGAAAGTCCATTAGACTCTTACCTGCAATGAACCGCCAGAAAACCAGAAGTAGTGCTGTGGTTCAAAGTGGTAGAGCTCCAGCCTTGAACAAAAGATCTGAGGGACAGCACCCAGGCCCTGAGTTTCAAGCCGTATGACTGGAAATAGAAGAACAGAAAGCGCAGGCCCACGGATCTGTTTCTGCCCCACAGGATCTCGAGAGGCGCAACCAGGAGCTGCAGGAGCTGAACCTCTTAGAGGAGTGCTTCCTGGAAGCGGAGAAGTTAAAGCAAGAAGTCAGATCTCTGTCTCGGGTGAGACGACTCGCTTCCTTTCCTGAGCTGATAGCTTTGTGGGCGCGAGGGAGGTCTGACACCAGGGTCGAGCCCAGGAACTTCAAAGTTACCCAGGAAAAGCCTTGGGGCTCACCCTCCCGTGCCCCTCCCCCCACCCCCCCATTCATCTTCTCTGCCTACGTTTGACTTTCGATCCCCAGAACCAAAGAAGACAAAAAAGATAGAGTTACAAAAAGAGAGAGTTCATAGAGCAGGGATCAGAGGCGGCAAAAGGCGGAGAAGGCTGGAAGAGCCAGCCAGGAGGGACTGGGCGCGCAGGACATTAACTGTCCCGGGGATATGCCCTGTCCCGATGGCCACGCGTGCAAACACTAGAGGAGCTAGGGCCCCGACACTCAAAGGCTCTGCTGTGGCCCTGGCTGATTCTGCCAGGGAGTTCGCTAGCTGCCGATGCCCGGCCCGCCCAGGACTCTAGAGCTTGGATCCAGAACATCTCACCCTCTGGGCTCCGAGCTAGAAGACTCTGTCCGCCCCATACATGATACTCTGGCCCTCAAGGCATAGATCCTCACCTACTGGTGATCTCCTCTGAGCCAGGCACTCGTGTCTCACGCCTGTCATCCCAGCTACTTAGGAGGCTGAGATCTGAGGATCCTGGTTGGAGGCCAATGTGGGCAGGAAAGTCCATGAAGCCCTTAGGTCGAATTAATCAGCAAAAAGCCGAAAGTAGAGTTGTGGTTCAAGTGGTAGGCTACCAGCTGTGGGCAAAAAAGCTCAAGGACAGCGTCTAGGCCCCATGTTCAAACCCTGGGACTGGTAGACACACACAAACACACACACACTATTTGGATGAAAGCAATCTGATTTCATTATTATTTGGCTTGTATAGAATTACTGGTTAGCCAGGCACAGGTGGCTCCCACCTGTCATCCCAGCTACTCAGGAGGCTGAGATCTGAGGATCACAGTTCAAAGCCAGCCCAGGCAGGAAAGTTTGTGAGACTCTTGTCTCCAGCAAACCACCAGAAAACCGGAAGTGGCGCTGTGGCTTAAGTGGTAGAGCGCCAGCCTTGAGCTGAAGAACTGAGGGACAGCGCCCAGGCCCTGAGTTCAGGCCTGGCAAAACAAAAAACAAAGACCCAGAGTTCAAGCACTCAATATTGACACAAAAACAGCAAAAACAAACAACAAACAAACAATAGCATGTAGACTATATGCTAGTGCATTACCACACTGCATATACTATAGTTATCATGATTATGTATAACGTGCACTACTTTATCACACGTTTATGATCTATGAGGGCTTCAACATGATCTTGCTATTATTGTTCTTAGAGTTTTCTAGAGAAGAATGACAGCTGCATAATTCTGATCTATGCACTTATATTGTCCACGATAATTAAGGGAGAAAATCCAAGCTCTGGTGGCTCCCGCTTTATGTATTTATTTTTGGTCCAAGGCCAGGACTCAGGCTTGGTGCCTGACGCTTTTACTCATTGGCTAGGCAGCTACCAACCGAGCCGCGCCTCCCACCCCAAGATTGCCTCTTTCTTTTCCTTTTTCTTTTGGCCCATGACCCAGGAGTCTCCCAGCTTGAACCCTAGCTGCCCAGGAGGCTGAGATCTGGAGGAGGCTGGAACCCAGGGCCTGGGCGCTGCCCCCGAGCCTTTTGTGCTCAAGGCCAGCGCTCTACCATTTGAGCCACGGCTCCACTTCCAGCTTTTTTAGAGTTTAACTGGAGATGAGTCTCATCAGCTTTTCTGATCAGAAAGGTCTGGGAGACCTCATCTGCAACTAACTAGTAAAAAGCTGGGCTCCAGGTGTGGCTCGAGCAGTAGAGCATCAGCTGTAAGAAAGAAAGCCAAGTGAGTGTGAGGCCTGATCAGGTTCCGATGTGGGGAGGAGAAGAGGGAGGAGAGGAGAGGGGAGGGGAGGGGAGGGGAAGGGAGGGGAAAGGAGAGAAGGGTTGAAGTGAGGAGGAAAAGGAGAGGGAAGAGAAAGAGGGAGATAAACTTACCCAAAATGAAAAGATCCATTTCTTTGATCCCATATTATTTGGGCCGAACCATTTCTAGACGGTCCTGGGGCTTGAACTCAGGGTCTGGGGCTGTGTGCCTGGGCTTACCATCTCTCAAGGCCGGCATCCTACCGCTGTGAGCCACAGAGCCACTTCTGGTTTTCTGGTGGTTCATTGGAGATCAGATTCTCATGGAGTCTACTGCCTAGTCTGGCTTCGAACCTCCGTCCTCAGATCTCAGCCTCCTGAGTAGCCAGGATGACAGGCGGGAGCCGCAGATGCCTGGCTTTTGGCTGAATCTTCTTGCCATCGTCTCTTGGAGGTATTTGGATCAGCAGGAAAGGAAGCGGCTCTGGACAGGGGCTAACGAAGTAGACTTGGAGATTTACGGCCTTCTTGTGGTCGTTGTGGAGAAGTGAAAATTCACGAAATCGTGTCATGTTCAGCTGGTGTTACACTCCATTCTGCTCTGGGCCTCGCAGGCAGACAATGCTGCAGGGTGATCGGCTCCACCCCGGCCAGTACACACAGTTCAGGAGAAACCAAGATAAATTCAAACACGGAAAGTAACTGCGTAGCAACAGATGACACTGCAGAGGATTAGAGAAGATTCATCTGGTGATGACGCGCGCGTGTGTGTGTGTGTGTGTGTGCACGCATGCATATGCACATAGCATGTGCCAACGCTGAGGCTTGAACTCCAGGCCCTGGTGCTGCCCCTGAGCTTTTTTTGCTCAAGGCTGGTGCCCTACCACTTGAGCCACAGCACCACTTCTTGCTTTTTGGTGGTTCCCTGAAGGTTAAGAGTCTCACAGACTTTCCTGTCTGGGGCTGGCTTTGAACCTTGATCCTCAGCTCTCCACCTCCCGAGTAGCTAAACTTATAGACACGAGCCCCCAGCATTGGGCTCTAAGTATATTTTATTACAAAGTTTAGCCAGCTGTCTCAAAGCTACAAAGCTATTGCTCTGAAAATGCGTTCTTGTAGATTTTGAAGCCTCTAGTTTAGAGGCTGTATTTGAGTTTCACTTATTTGTCTGTTCATAATACAGCTTATGTGTTTATCCACTTCAAAGGGCAGAAATAATAGTCATAAAATAGCAGTGCATCTGTAGCTCGCCAACAGAAGCTTCTAGTGTGGTGTGACTTTTTTTTTTTTCATATTTGAAGCCAGGGGAACAGAAGAGGGGCTCAATTGGTAGCTCCCCGGCCCTGATTGTAAAAGCTCAGGGCCCACACCCAGATCCTAAATTCAAGCCCCAGATCCAGCACACTCACAAAACCTCTAGCCAGGTCCTGAGATCTGAGGATCGTGGTTCAAAGCCAGCCTGCACGGAATAGTCTGTGAGACTCTTGTCTCCCAAGAATCACCGAAAAACTGGAAGTGGAGCTGCGGTTCAAGTAGTAGAGCACCAGCTTGAATGAAAAAAGCTCAGGGACCTTACCCTGTGTTCAAGCCCTAGGACCAGCGCATGCATGGACACACTCACACGCGCACGCGCACACACACACACACACACACACACATTGTTGATATCCAGGTTTCTTCCAGAGCAGTGTGGGCCCTAGAGTTAAGATGGCAGACATCGACGGGAACAGCATAGGGCTGCTTTTGGGCCAGTGCACCCTGTTGATCACCCCCCCATCTTTGTGTTTCTGTTTTTCTCTTTTGTAGATTTCTATCGCTGAAGACCTAGAAGCCATGAAGAATGCACTGAAGAAGAAATTACTAAGTGACAAAATATTAGAAGGTATTCTAAACACGCTGGTCAGAGGGCAGCTGTGTCCAAGTTTTCTTCACACACACACACACACACACACAGAATAATGGTGGCTCCCGCCTGTCATCCTAGCTACTCAGGAGGCTGAGATCTGAGGATTTGCGTTGGAGGCCAGCCCGGGTAGGAAGGTCCATGAGACTGTCATTTCTAATTAACCAGCAAAATGCTGGAAGTGGAAGCGTGGCTTAATTGGCACAGTGCCAGTCTTGAATGAAAAATAATTAAAGGACAGTGCCTAGGCTCTGAGATCAAGCCCTAGTACACACACACACACACACACACACAAATATTAATAGTGACAACAGTTTAACATATATCAGGAAAAAGGATTTGACTCTGAAAGCCGGCCGAGGGCTGGATGATGGTAGAGGTAGGTCAACCCTCGAACCCCTTCCCACGTTCAGCCTCAGCCTCCAGCGATGTTTGGTCCTGTTGCACAAGCTCACAGAAAAAGCAGAATTTTACACTATCTTCAAGGCCAAGCACGGTGGCTCACGCCTGTAATCCTAGCTAACTCCCCCAGGAGGCTGAGATCTGGGGACCGTGGCTCTTCATCTCCTATTAACCAGCAAAAGGCTGGAAGTGGAGCTGTGGCTCAAGTGGTAGAGCACCAGCCTTGAGCCAAAAAGCTAAGGGCTAGTGCTCAGGTTGTGAGTTCAAGCCCTTTAAGGTGTGTGCACGCACACGCACGCACGCACACAAACATCTTCAATTTATAGGTAGTAATGTTTTGGGTCTGATAAGAAATGGATCTAACAATGAGGAGTTGAAAAACTAAAATTCACACCTGTTCACGTCCCGAATCTGGCAGGCGCATGCTTCAAACCTGCCAGTCCCGGGGCTTGAACTCCAGTCCTGGGTGCGCTCCCTGTGCTTTTCCATTCAACAGCCCCTTGAACCACGGCTCCACTTGTGGCTTTTTTTTGGAGATTAATTGGAGGGAGGATCCTTTCCTACCCAGGCTGGCTTTGAACTGCAGTCCTCAGATGTCAGCCTCCTGAGTAGCTGGGATTAAAGGCCTAAGCCACCAGTACCCAGTACTGCCCTTATTTTATTGAAAAAACAAACCTGTAATTTCATATGTGAACCAACATTTACGTTTTAATGTTTATTTTTTTGCCTTTTGGATTCTTCGCCCTATGATGTCCAGTTTTAAGGAATTTGCTACTTACCACGTGTGTGTGACGCTGTTTTATAAACGCAATCAGGGCTTGCTGCACACTTCCATTGGGATGATCTTTGCACAAGGACAACACGTTATTTTCATAGTAACACACACATATTATTCCTGAAGAGTTAGCAGATCTCTGTCTAGATCACCCGCTCCCGTGGACGCTAGGTCTGTGTGAGTTCATGTTTGGCAGGGGGTTCAGTACAAGCTCCCTTTTCTAGGAGTAGAAATTTTTCATTCACTCCCCCTAGTGCAAAGACATTGCTGGGTACAGTGGCTCACGCCTGTAATCCCAACTACTCAAGCGGCTGAGATCTGAGGATCGGGACTTCCAAGGCAGCCTGGACAGGAAATGCTCCGGCACTCTTAACTCCTATTACCTGGCAAAAAGCCGGAAATGCAACTGTGGTAGAACACCAGCTCGGAACGAAGGGGCGAAGGGACAGCACCAGGGACAGCACCCTGAGCACCCAGGCCCTGAGCTCAAGCCCCAATAACAGCCTGCGCGCGCGTGCGTGTGTGCGTGCGTGCATACATGCGTGTGCCCACCCACACATCACCGTCTGTGCCAACCCTGTGTGGATGTGCTTGCCTCCAGCCCAGAAGCTCCTGGTGAAGAACACCTCTGAAGTGCCAGAAACGAAGGACATCTTGGACGTGAATCTGTGCCAGTTCTCGCCGCTGGGCGGCGTGTTCTACCTGGACATCCTGCAGCTGCCCCCACTCTGCAAGCCAGTCAAGGGCTGGATGATGGTAGAGGTAGGTCGGCCTCGAACCCCTTCCCACATCTGACTTCCTCCTCCCCCCCCACCTCAGCCTCCAACGACGCTGGGTCCCGCTGCACCAGCTCACAGGAAAAACAGAATCTTACACTATCCTCAGGGCCAAGCACGGTGGCTCACGCCTGCCGTCCCCGCTGACTCTCCCAGGAGGCTGAGATCTGAGGATCGTGGTGCTAAGCCGGCCTGGGCAGAAAAGTCCTGGAGACTCCTCATCTATTAACCAGCAAAAGGCTGGATAGTGGCGTTCGAGTGGCTCAAGTGGTAGAGCACCAGCCTTGAGCCAAAAAAGCTAAGGGCTAGCGCTCAGGTTGTGAGTTCAAGCCCTTTAATGAGCATGCGTGCACATGTGGTCACGCACACACACACACACACACACACATACATCTTCAGTTTATAGGTTGTAACGTTTTGGATCCGACAATAAATGGATCTGACAATAAAGAATTTAAAAACTGAAATTCACACCTGCTCACCTCGTTGGACTTGGCAGGAGCAGTGGTGTGCAGCCGCAGCTGCGTGGATCGCGCGCCAGCTTCACTGAAACCACGCAGCCCGCCCAGCCCAACACTGCTGTGCGCGCGCGCTGCGGGACCCGAGGCTCAGCCCAACACTGCTGTGTGTGCGCGCGCTGCGGGACCCGAGGCCCAGGGCCTGGAGTTGGCAGGCTGCGCTGGCTCTTAGGCCAGTGTTTCTCGCTCAGACTCATGGCCAAGGGCCTTGGGGCACGGTTGTATTGACAACCTGTTTTGAGTTAAAACTTTAAAGTCATGGCGCCGTGGGCCGGTCCGTCCCTGGGGCTGCTTGGCTCAAGGCTGCTGCTCTAGCACTCTGAGCCACAGAGCCACTGCCGAGGCTGGCCTTGAACCACGATCCTCAGATCTCAGCCTCTTGAGCGGCTGGGATGACAGGTGTGAGCCGCGGGCACCTGGCTACATAGAGCTTTTCCCTTGTCCTCTCCCCCCAGCGAGTGTTTTCCTGGGTTTTTGGTTGTTGTTCTTATTTTTTGCCAGTCCTGGGCTTGAACTCAGGGCCCGGGCGCTGGCTCTGAGCTGCTTTGGCTCAAGGCTGGTGCTCTACCACGTGAGCCACTTCCTGTTTCTTCTGTGCACGTGGTGCTGAGGACTCGAACCCGGGGCCTCATGCATGCGAGGCGAGCGCTCTACCACGGAGCCACCTGCCCAGCTCCAACTAGTTTTTGATATCACTCTTCCTCTTCTCTGCCTCAAAGATCCCCCCCAAACCAGTGGTACACTGCGGCAGACATCTCTGTAGGGTTGGTGCTGAGGGGAAGAGTCCTTGTTCTCTCCAGAGGAAAGACCAGGCTGAGCGGGCATGTTTCTAGGGTTCACCCAGAACGTTCTCGAATTTTCTGGAATCATCTAATGGTACCACGCCGTGCCCTGCCGTGTACTCACACCTGCTTCCCCCACGTGTCCTCCTCACTTCATCTTCTTCATTTCCGGTCTTTTCTCACACTTGTGACCTGGCCCCACCTCCCAGATGCATCCCTGCTCCATCCAGACAGAGCCTGCGCCGGCCTTGCCTGTGAAGCCACCCCGGCCTCCGCGCCCTCCAGGCCTCCGATCCTAGCTCCTTCTCTGTTCAGCGCAGGGCTTTGCGTGGAGGTTTGGCTCCGCGCGGTAGAGCACCTGCCTAGCCAGCTCCACAGCTTGACGTCAAGACCCAGTCGCACAAAGCAGAGGCTTTGCAGGGCCGCTGAGAGGAAACTCACCATAAGCCATAGTCCATAGACCACATGCCCGGGGCTCACGCCTTCATCCCAGCCACTCAGGAGACACAGCTGAAGGTCCTGGTTTGAAGCCAGCCTAGGCAGGACTCTTACTTGCAATGAGCCACCCAAAAAGCCATAAGTGGAGGTGTGGATCAAGTGGTAGAGCGCCAGGCTTGATCCTAAAAGCTACGGGACAGTGATCGGTCTGTGAGTTCAAGGCCCAGTACCAACACACACACACACACACACACACACACACAGATTCTGACTGACAAGAATTTATATGATCACACTGAAATGTCGTGGTTATCTTTTGTCTTTCGATTTTGTTGTGGCATGGTCTTAGTCAAATCTGTGGATTTGAGGCTCACACTGTCACCCCAGCTACTCAGGAGGCTGAGATCTGAGGATCATGGTTCAATGCCAGCCCAGGTAGGAAAGTCTGTGAGACCTTTATCTCCAATGAAACCACCAGAAAGCCAGAAGTGGAGCTGTGGCTCAAAGCGATAGAGTGTTAACCTTGAGCAAAAGAGCTCAGGGACAGCGCCCAGGCCCTGAGTTCAAGTCCCATGACCGACAAAATAAAGGAAAATGAAATCCGTCGATCAGAGAACCAAAAGACAGACCTTGTGTAAAACCAGATCTTTCTGTTGAACGGGGGGGGGGGGG